CCCTTGAGTAGATTCATGTACCTCAGGGTCATTTTGAAATCGCCACGATCCAACCAATATCTGAAATAAACAGTTAGATGCGATATGTTTAAAGCTGCAGTAAAGCGATTCTCGTCAAATAATTTCATCTTTGGAATAATCCTTGCAGTCCGCTTAAATTGAAAATTGTAAAATTCACGCAAAAATATGATCAGACACTAAGATCCACTTTAATCGAATATAACCTTTTTCACTTGTTTGTGTCATTTATTTATTTATTTTTTTTTTTTGGTCGATGCAGTTTAATGAATGTAATACCTCTGGATAAATTCATATTGATTTGTTAATTTGATATAATCGAATGCTTCGCAAAGCCTTTTTCACTTGTTTGTGTCATTTATTTATTTTTTTTTTTTTTGGTCGATGCAGTTTAATAAATGTAATACCTCTGGATAAATTCATATTGATTTGTTAATTTGATATAATCGAATGCTTCGCAAGCAACGAGCGGTCGCGGTTCGCAATTTGCGGGAAGCAATCAGTGTGGAAGATTTGTTGGCCGATTTCTCTATAGTTATTCACGAGTTCAACCGATTGTTGGCCACTTCATTCCAAAGTTTAGAGACAGACGAGAACGTATTCCTCTCCTTCTTCTTCTCCTCCTCCTTCCTTCTCTTCCTCTCTCGTTTTCAGAGGAATGCCAGAGAGATTGCGCGATAGTTTGGCGAAAGGCACTCGCGACAGAATAGTTGGTGACATCCGGTAGCCGGAAGCCGCACTATCGGGTGTGATTTTCCAAAAGGAAACGTTAATTTGGAGAGAGCGAGAGAAAGCGAGAGAGAGAAAGAGAGAAGCTACGGTTTGTTAAAATCTTCTGACCAAATGTTCAAACTAGTATCCCCCACGAGTCATTTGTTCGTTCGTTCATTCAAGGGAAACGTTTATTCACCGGCTTAGGATTAAGTTAGTGATATCCAGCGGATGTCGCTTTTCTCCTGGTGCAGCAATGCTGAGTTCTCTAAGAGAAAACCGCATGCAGGGTAGAACATCGACTGAGAACTTTACACAGAATACACTGAGTCGCTTCCGATACGGTAAAGTGAGATTAACGCTGTGTATCCCAGTTTACCTGGCAGATTAAGAGAAAGAGAAAAAATTTTCAGTGTTTTTAAAAGATACAAGAGGATTTCTAAACAAATGTACAATTGAGAAACATTTTCTTTTTCATTACACCGTAATATCGCCGTTCTTAAACCGTAATGTAACTGTCTATTCTGTTTATGATTTATGACAAAACGATTAGAAGAGCAACGTTAATTTATAAAAGACAAAATATATTACGATAATTAACAAATCCTCAAATAGGAACGAATTATTTAAACCTAATCATGTTCTTAGTTCTAAATATACATTTTAATCTTTTTCAATTTGCTAATTTAATAAGTAAATATACTAACTGATATGTATATAATACAAAATAAATAAATGTTAATGTTTTCGCGGCTATCGAGTGAGCATCTTATGCGTAATAATAAACTTTGTAAATTTTCTATCTCACTTTTATGATTTTCATAAATAAATTACCAATTACTGTGCAGTCTTAAAACAGTTCTTTTTTAAATGAAAATATATTACACTGATAATCGATTTAATTTTATTGATGCTGGGAAGCATTATAATGTTAAAAATTAACTGTCGAATCTTGCTTGATCACATATCAAGTTACTGCTGAGATTATAGAGAAAACTAGAGGATCTTCTGGCTTTCACAGAAAACCAAAGGATCAACTGACGTCACGGACAATCCGATGTACGTCGGATGCTACAGTGCCTTCTTCTCATTACGACAGATCCTATGGAACAGCTACGTGAAATGGGACGCAGTGCGGTACGGTGCGACGCGATGTGGAACGTTTATCCATCTCTTCGGTATCTTGAGAGCGATTCGAACGTAGTCCACGTGGCCTAATTCGAGGCACGGACGCGCAACGATCGTGGATACTGAAGTTTCTTGCTGCTTTTGGATTTCATATTCGGCAATATCGCTCTGTAAGAACTTTCCCGCTTGGCCTTCACTAAGACGAGCGAACAATCCTCAAGATCTATTAAGAAAATCTTTCGTTCTTATGTGTTCTTTTGCTGTAGATCGCGAATAAGCTCTACTTTTCTTTACACCGACTGAACGGTCCGATTGTAGTAGTGTTTGATATGGACTTCTCGTAATAATTTTAATTAAACTCTCATATAAAACAAATAATCCATCCCATACTTCCGTTTATCTACAAATTCTTCAGCCTATCTAATGTTTTCTTTTTTTTTTAACAAAGAAGCTTTTCTTGTATAAGAAATTTAAAGCTTTTATTAATTTAAGAAAATTTTATTCATTTATTTCAAAGTAAAGAGAGAAACCTTTTAATTTCAATTTCAATTTTAATCAACAGTTAAAATCAAACTTTTCGACAAATACAGCTCATTTAAAAATATCCATTTTCCTAAATCGATTTAACACTAGAAGTATCAAGCGGTCATATATTCTATGTTTTTAGATTAATACTTATATTCCTTGTGTAAAATAGTATTCTGGCATTTTTTGACTTTTCAATAATTGTATCCTTTATACTAGTAAAATATTTAGTTTTTCGTCAAACGGAAAAAACAATTTTGCTGAAATATCTAAAAATTTAGCCAGATACAGATCTGAAAATAATTTTGTTGGGCTGTTTATCAAAATAATTGGGAATCTCAAGCAATGCCCCAAAAAGTTTTAACATTCTAGCATTTTAGATATTTTCACAAAAAATTATCCTTTTCATGCACTTCATTATTATAGTAATTTATTCGCCATTTTAAAAAACGTTGATACTTTTAGTATCAAAGAAGAGAATCGACTTTCAAAATGAAATGCGAATTATTAAATAATTAATATGTGAAGCAACTATATTTGCGCGTTTCCAACTGATAAAATGAAAGTTGGAGATTAAAACACATATTCATCAAATATTCATTTGCAAAAATTAAGACAATAACGCCCCTTTCAAATTCGTGAAATCTGTTACGAGATATATATCCGTGATATATCGATCGTACTCTGCGGGACACTCCCCTGGAGCTTGCGAATTTTACTCGCGGACGTTGAAAGAGCGTGTACATACTGCAGTGCGCCCCGAAATTAAAAATTCAGAAGACTCACGTCCGCGCTTCGGCACGTGTTCGTTCATGGACGATGGACGTGTCGCGCGAGCTATATATATGTTGCACATATTGGCAATTTTAAAGGTGTAACTTATTTCGATCGATCTACTGTAGAGATCGACCTGAAATTTATCCGCTAATAAAATGTACCATTCGCATCAGCAACATATTATTTATTCGTGTCGCTGAATGCCATTCGTAATGTCTGTCGTGCGGTAATATCAACTTATTTTGCATGAGTTCCCACTTTGTGTACAAAAGAAAACAAAGTATTCTTGATAGAATAATTAAGTATTCATCAGGATACCACTCACGCCTTCTATGAGCGGCGAGGGAAGAATACAACTCGAATTGTTTCGTGAAAAAGCTTTGATTAAAACAGCACGTATCGCTGCAAATTCTGCTATGTGAAATTATGACATTACATATATTAAAATGTTATGAATATGCAAAGACGTCAACTATCAACTGAATAAATTACATTTAATTTCGCAGATCACGATCGTACATTACCTATTCGAGAAATTACGATTTTTTCTCACCATATGCGCTTCGCAAAAATATACTTTATACGCATCGATAATGAACTTTGACATTTTTTCTTTTTTTTTCGGAATCCATTCGGAAAATATCCTGAATAATGTAGTTTTAATTCATAGAGGAAAGCACAAAGAGCAGCGATGTGTGTAGATAAGAGAAAGAAAAGAAAAAAGGAAATATAAACTGCCAGGAAAGTTGGTGTAGGGTCCATTTTCTTTTGTAGACACCCGACATTTCGCGAGTCACAACGAGCGCCAGTAAGTGCTCTTAAGTATGTAAATCTATCGCTTCGTGGTGTGTGAGAGACACTAGCCGATTGCTTCTACATTCTATGCCGTGGCAATAACGGCTGTTTTAAAGATTCCCCTCGTTTGCGCATAGCGTTTCCCAACTTGAAATTCTACCACTGCGATTAAGACACGATCGAGCAATGAATTTTTCGTATGGATAAAAACATGAGCCACTGCTCTTGCAGATTTTTGTACGTGAAACCGTTCAAATATCTGATATCGTGCCAAAGCGTTTTCTCACAGCTGTACAAGAAATTCTATCGTCAAAATAAAACTTTAACGATGAATTCTCTCACGTATCTCAACTGTAAAAAATTTCATGTAAAGTTACAAAATGGATAAAATTACAAGAGAATATAATGGATAATCTTGAGACTATTAAAGATGAATATTTACATACGTAAATTAGAACTTACAAATAAAATTGTTTTTCAGTAATTAAATAATTTACAAAAATAAATGTACAAGCTAAAATTTATAAACATATTATATATAAGTTTATAAAATATTTACGTAATAATTCGCTGACAAATTTTTCTTAAGCTATGGTATCCATAAACATAAACATGCAAATATAATAATAATATTACCATTATGTAATATAATATTATGAAAAGCACATTTACATAACAATTATAGAATATTATTATTTTAATTTTTTTCTAATATAGATAAATAGCGCCACTACCATGGCTACTTTACGCGAGCCGGCGAGTTGCGGCAGATCGAGATTTATCGGATCTCAATAAGGGCTGAACCGATCAAGTTCTAAGTATGCTCAATCGATTGCAACCGCTTGGGATATATAATGAAAGTGTTTTTATTTTTTTTCTACGTGCTCTACGAGCGGAGATATTGCGTATATATTTTCACTAAAAATTATGCAATTCTTGCACATATGACTTATTATTTATGTAATTTTATTTACATATTATTTATGTAATTTCACATACTCTTTTTACAGAGTACAGTCGAGCGCTTTCGTACGTTGCATTTTTCGCGTAAATATTTAATGCTGTAGATATTAATGAAACACGTTTGTAACGCTTTTATTGGATACATAATATTTTTCCTTGAAAAAATAAATTTAAGCGAGAGAGAGCTGCAATACATGCCGCGCGAGGCACATACGTACGCTTATCTTTATTTAGTGTTACGCAGAATAAATTGAGGGCACCTTCCATAAGGGCCAGAAACCAAAGGGCTGCTGGCACGAGAAAAACGAAGGGATAAGTCGGTAAAACGGCTTGCTAGCGGATTTTGCCGGGGATAACCTGACGAGTAGTAAATGGCGGTGTTCTTTGTCAAAGTGTACGTGGCGGGTATTACGGCAGGTGTTTTCGTCTTTCCCGCTTCGTTGATGGCCAGCCGGATATATTGCTCTACCCAGTCCTTAGGGTCTCGTAAGGATAATTTATAGGGTCAACCCGGGACCGAGCGAACAAGAGAAAGGGAGATGAAGCGTCTTGCGTGACGCGGAAATTGCCGCTCGAGTTACGAGTACAATAAAAGTACATTTAATCGACGACACAATAAATTTTATCGTTGTCCAGATCGACAATTTTACGCCGTCGTTGTTTACTTTCGTATAACCCGTACTGGTTCCGTAAATTTCGCAAAATCGTGAAATTTGCAAGAAGGAATGCAGGTAATCAATTTGCGATAAAACAGCTATTGGGAAAAGTATTTCGCTTCGTTTATAATCCGGCACGATCTCGAGTTTCTTCGCGCACAATAAATTCATTTGATCTCTTTATCTTTGAAGATATGAGGGAATCTTTGACAATTTACGAGAATTCTTACCTGGCACGTTGGAGTATGTCGTACGTATTCAGCGAGTCTACGTCGATTGGCTCGTCTTCGAGCTCCCTTTTCGGAATTGAATTGGCCGTTTTGATGATCAAGAAACTTTGAAGATAGCTAAGAAGATATATAGGCAGGGCTGCACCGCCTTCAGGCACCATGGCTAATCTTCTCGCCACGCTCTCTACCTAGTAATGTACAACGAGCGAACCATTTTCAAAAATTGATATTATCATTTACATAAAAGAATTTCGTTTGAGTTGATGCTATAAAAAAGTTGTAAATGAAAAGAGAAACTTTGGAAAATGATAATGTTGCCATAAGTAATTTCTTACATCATAATAAGATGTTACATCATAATAAATTTAACTGAACTTAGTATCGCTCCCTTACTTCAAAAGTAACACAACAAATTAAATTTCTCAGAAAAAGGAAAAAATTATTTTTCAACTTAACTAATCAAATAATATTGGCGAAAAGAATATATTCTTAATGTGATCAAATGTCGTTCATAACTTTTTTAAAAAACTACCCTTTTTTAGTTGTAACTATTCTGATGATTTTTTCTAAATACCTTTTTTGTGACGATTCTGAAAATTTTTTATGAGAAGTTAATTTACTTTTGATAGTTAATAGGGTAGCGTTTATCTAATTCATTCGTGGTAATAACTTGAAAATTACATTTTCTAGTTGTGTCATTTTTGAAGTAAGTAAGCATATATATTAACAAAAATAATACAATATCTAAACCCTATCAATAAATAATACAAAATTAAATTAATATATAGTGTAAATAAATTGCACAAAGTATAATTTTTTATATTATAAGAAGCAATATATGTATATATATATATATAATTCCAACGTTTAATCGCTTATCGTTTAATTCATATACTAGCGATCTCGAAGATCATCTCGTAAAAATAGACGGAGTAGTCTAATTCTAATTCTAAAGAATGTGGGAAGCGCGGTAATTACCTTCAGGAACCTCTCACGGAGGGTATCCTCCGGGAACACGCCTCTCTTAGCCGCCTCCTCGGGAATGGTTTGGATAGCGGCGCGCACCAGGGGATCCTCCTTCGCTAGAATCGAAGGAAACGTAAAACTGAATTGACGCGAATGAATGTACGGCGGCTTGCTGTGGCTCTTTGTTTAATTAATTGACGAAGTATCAATTGACGTCCATTTCTCGTATGTCATTCATCTGGCCGACATTTCGAGAATTTCGGCGAACAAAATTAATCAGCATACGAATGTTAATTCGTATGTATATACATATATATAACCAAATTTATGCTGCAGTCCAATTTGCTTTGTGGCCATTCACAACATTCTGGTTACGTTTTTCCCTCATTAAATGTATTGCTTACACTGTGTCTACAACGTGTTATGATACGTGTTTCAAGTTGCAGTTCGTATTTATCGCAAATAATAGGTATATATACAATAAGTTTATAAAAGATTTTAACGTCAGATAATTGCACATTTATGAAAAGGGTTTGAACATGGCAGTCATCGATTGAATTTGCGCCTCCGTACATAGTGTAATCGTCGAGTTTCAGTGAAAATTGAAAATTACAAAGGTGATTTTGTGGTGGAAGATTTAAAAAAATGGTGAAAGCGCTCAGGAAAAAATTTATAGACACTTGGCGCAATTAAGGGCGAATGTTCACGGTAGGGGCATAATTAATGAACATATGCGCGACGCTCCATCAGGTCGACGCGAGCTCTTTTGAAATGCCCACCGTATAGCCTTTATGAAGGTTCCATTCGCTTCCGATTAAGCAGTAAATCTTCGATGGTACTCTCTTCTGCGGTTTATCTTTCTCCGCTCTTATCAGCTTGGTGGGTTGTGGCCCACATACACGCACATTTTGAGAGAGAGGGAGGGAGGGAGGGGGAATAAAGGAAAAGCTGCTATAATATTCTAAAAGCCGGAATAATATTCTTTGTCGCACGGTTGTAACTTCAAATTAGACTTTGACGAAACTTAATAACGTTTGTATTTTAAATTGATAATTGTAAGTATCGAAAGATTGTGTGCAGCAAGACATGAACTTTCCTTTCCTCCCCCCTCACTCTTTATATATATATATATATATTATATATAATTAATATATAATAAATTACATTTATAGAAAATGAGTATAGAGATATCGAGTACAGAGAAGAGATATCATGCAGATGAAATATATACATCTCGGCATTTATACGCTCGAACGCTATTGTTGTGTAGCAAAGTGCCATTGAAAGCGTGTTTCAACGCGTTAAAAATGGTGCTATGTCATGCCAAAAAATTCGAAGAATGAAACAATAATACGTCCCGTGCAAAAATAATATTTTTCGATATCACAGCACAGAATAATAATAGAGATATATAAATAAACATTAAGCTGAAATTTAGATAAATTGTTCATCTGTTGTGAAAACGAGTTTATATATATATATATATATATATATATATAAAGAGAGAGAGAGAGAGAGTACATTAAATTTTTATTTATTTCAGTCTTACTACTAGTCTTACTCTGCAAATATGCACCTATTTATTTAATGTTTCAGAAATAACAATAACAGAGATTCTACGGAATATGCTGTGTCGAGTTAATTAACTTAGCCTGGCGTCAAATCAACAAATTTCATTTGCGAAAAAACACGCAATAATAGTAATAACAATGTATACAATTACAAGTAAATTATAGGCAACTGCAGTACAAGCGGAATGCAGCCACTCCTAAGCTACAACTGCAAAGTCCACGCTCCACGTTTCCACACTCCAAGTTTCTCGCGCTACTTTAGAAATTATTCGCCATATTTTGTATCAGACGGAAACCGTAGAGCCCACGGTAATATGAAATTACTTTGAAAGCCCATCGCGTTATTTCTTCATTTGAAAAGCAAGTGCACCCAAATGCATGCAAGTTAGCATACATGTACATGTTAAAATACTTTGAATAAATTATCATTTGCAAGAAAAGGCGCATACATTTGCGTAATAAATTTATATTTATGTGTGAAAATTTATAAATAAAAATTTTAACGTCTTTAATTTCTTAATTTTTTAATTCATTTATATTTATTAATTGTTTAATTTTTAAATATACCCCTAACGTCTTAAACGTATTTAATCAAGATACTTACGTGCTGCCTTGCAGATAGCCTTGATTTCAGGTTCTAACGGTTTAATTACTTTATCTTTTGGTGCACCTGACTGGATGGCTTTTACTGTCCTGGCCAAGGTTTGACAGGCCGCCCAAAGGATCTGTACATTCGACGCACCCTTCTCTTCCTCCATACGAGCTGAAACAAAAATATTTCACTTAAACTGATTCATGTTTAGATAAAAATTCCTTGCGGTCGAGAGAAACTTACTGTAACATTCTCGACTATTAAAAATTTAAATAGTCTTGTTAATAGCCTGGGACGAAAGTTTATATCGTGCTGATAAAGCTTGAAAATCGCGCTCGTTTTTCTCCACTACCATAATTTTGCATTTTTGCGATCATAAATTACTGAAAGAGATAGCTAGTAGAATTTATATTCGAAAGTTATTACGCGCTAGAGATTTAAATATTGCAAAAATACCAGACGAAAGTTCCACTTAGAATTTAATCATTTACTTGATATATGTGTCGTATGTGTTGTATACGTTAATGTACGCGATAAAACTTAATATTTATATCGTTATTAAGTCCAATATTAAATTGAGAATCGTCAATATTTTCCGCGAATTATTAAAAAAAGGGAGAAACTTGCGATCGATTCACAATATTCGCTTGTCTAATTTAATTTGTGCCCAGATACCCGTTATGGTTCCCCGATCATTCAAAGATCCTCAGGGGTATCGCTGTGATGTTACTGCAGTGACAAACATTTCGCGCACTTCTGTGACGTAAAATTTTTCAATAACAGCGTTCGTCATGGGAAAATCCCGATGTATGTGAATTATGAAACCGTGTTCTCTTGACATGTGCTCGCATTCTAAAAGGCCGCATGAGATCGGCGTTATACATAATCCTATTCGTAAACAAAAATAAAACTTGGACGCTAACAAAAATGTAATTCACGGTCATTTGTTGGAACAATAAAATGTTTTCATACGCATCTGAATAAAATTCAGCGATTTAAATCTCGCGCTGGAAATAATAATGCATTTTGCAACAGTGCCATTCAGCACAGATTCACGGGAAACAATAATAGACTGCAATAGACGGAGAAATAAACAGTTGCGCGATAAACGGACTTTGTCGTCAATACGGTCAAACTGAAAATGTGAATATCGTTTATATCGTGTTAAATTGTCATACGATTCGCGCCGCATGTACGCGTGAAAATATCGTTTGGAAATATATTCGATGGGTCAATTAAATGGTAATATAACTGCGATATTTGTGTATTTGTTAACTTCACCGCGACTAATTAAATCATCGTTAAATTATCATGCCATGACATAATCGATATTTAATCGACGGCATGACGAGCATCCACCTGTCGACTGACGATTGATGAGCTGTAAATCGGCTAGAAAGATGTTCGGCACGACTGTTAACACCGCTAAGGTTGGCGAGAGAAACGGGATTCAGCTGGATTTCGGTGCTTCTAGCGTGATTTATTACGCGTATCAATCCGGATAGGGGTTTACGGAGCGATTTCTTGTCTAGAGAAAATTACTCTACTCGGTTAGAGATTTTCCGTGCTCTCTTCCGTTTCAGCCTATATATAATATTTTCCCAAATCAGGGAATATTTCCTTTCACTGTACGAAAAGAATGATTTTGTTGAAGTAAGTATTCGAAAGTTCAATTACATACACACACAGATCTGAAAATAATTTTGTTGGGCCATCAAAATAATTATGTAGGAAGCATAATAGGCAATATTGCAAAAAGTTCTAGCAACAGCTCGAGTTTTAAATAATTCTGATGTGATACAATAAAATTATTTTCAGATCTGCACCTAGCTAAATTTTTAGATACTTCAGTAAAATCTTTTAATGTGTGTGACGACCTGTGTGCGAGCACCATGTCATATAAATGAATAATAACCTTAATTTAGACAAAGCTTGATAAGTTTTAATTCTTGGATTCATAATATAATATTCATTTTGCTGTGAACGTTTATCTAATTTAACATTATCATCGCCTCCCGAAATGACCAAAGCAATTACAGTCAGTTCACGCTCGGGTTTCAGAGAGAAGCGCGAAAGCAAATTATGGTCCGTAATAAGTGCAATATTACTCTTTATAACGACAATCGCTGTAAAAGCACGAACGTTTCGAGGACAGACACGTGCGTAATTAATCTCTCGCGATAGAAGGGATCCACCCTTTCCTGCGATTTTATCGTTGCGGCGAGTTACGGGACGCAATTTTGTCGCCCAAATATCATTATCGTGCTTTTTCATAAAATACCCATAATATAATACGTTCAACAGGCTTAGTCAGCAAACCGCTGGTTATCTCCAGTTTTAAATTACTCGGGCTCGAATAATCGAATCTGCGATTCGTAGTCGCGGCAATATCATTTCTCGTAATGGCTATAAAATTCCAGTGCTCTTTAAGCTAATCCTTCGCGGGGTGTATTTTTATCTCCCCGCGACGCTTCAGAGAATGCCGGGGATAAACCGTATTATCAATTTCGCCTCATAAGCAAGCAACCTCGCAAATTCGCAACCGCAAAGCAGTTCAGACCGAATTACCAAATCCGTCGCGCTATTTCGACTTTATGACCCGCTCGGCTTTATTGATGGTGCATTACTCACAGACCGCGGCCGTCTATCGCTATTTCCTTTTACGAGTAGGTCGAGTGCAATGGGTAATTTTCGCGAAAAATTGAGAAGTCATATTGACTTGTCGGCCGAAATTCCGTTCGCGGGACGATATATGCATCCGCCATGTATGTCCTGGAAACTAATTATTCTGCAGCATTCAGGTAGTTATTAAGTTCGCGGTTTTATATTCGTTTGCCAATCATACGGTTTTATTGGCAATATCATTGAATCCGCTATAATGCCATATTGACCTATCCATCTTACTTTTACGGTTTGCTGTCAAAATATGAATACATCTATTTGATGCAAAAAAGGAAACGATTTTTTAAATTTGAATCTTGCAAATCACGAAATGTAATCTACATAAATAAATATGCAAATATATAATAAAACAAGCATGCGTTTTTAATATTTGATCACATAATACTTAAATCTTGCTTAACTCGCGCACTATTATATATCCTATACAATCGATCAATTTTCGTCAACTTTATCGGTATTAAAATGCAAAGTACTTGAAAGCTATAAATGGTAAAGATAAATTGTCGAAAAAATATGGTATTTTAGACCATCGCTTTTTCACGCAGCACTACTTACATTTTCCGCATATAAATGACCGTTCATAAATTAATGCCTGGCGCTCTTCCTTTCTTCTCACGCAACGTCGGATTCCAAATCGCATTGGCGGAACGCATCGACTTCAACGACTTAAAGCGACCGTAAAGCCAAAATGACAGACCGATTGCCCGACGTACGATATATATCCCGGAATCTGTTTTCCTTCGTTCTCTCTTTTTCCTCCGTTTTCTTCCGTGCTTATATTGCCGCACGATGGACTTTCAGCGAGCGATTCTCACGCTTGAGTAGGTCGGTGAGCATCGACGCGGAAAACGGAGAAGGTCGAAGGGCCCGGGACTGCTTCAAGCCGGATCCACTCCATCTCGTGTGCCGGTCCTGTTTCCCGTCCCTCTTCTTGCCAAATGAAATCACGTTATTACGTGGGTAAAGCCGTCCACAACTGGACCGAATGTCGTCGCGAAAAATTCCTGAGTGCCATTAAATCCGCGTGTATCCGTAGGAATTATTAAACTCCCGAATGAACGCGTCCAATTATTCCGGATAATTACTAGTTTGTCCGAGCGTACGCCGCGCCGGCGGCGTATCGTTACTCTGACGAAGCTCCGCTTAGCGGTTTGCCAAAATTAATTGTCTCACGAAGATTGTAATTACTGGACCGCGAATATTTTTTCCGCGTTTATCGACGGACGCAGCGCGTAAGAAAGTAAAAAAAGGAATAAATAAAAAAAAAACCGTTTATAAATGTGTCTTTTCAAACCCGTTGTTTTATAAATTGCTGTTACAACAACCCAACACGTGATGGTTCAATTCTATACCATCGGTGTTCTAAATTTCATTCCGGTAAATATTGGTTACTGTATACGTGTAGGGAGATTTCAGTAAACTGTTTATTTATCTTTTAACTACGTGTGTCAATTTTCGTACTTCGTTACCAGCTTTGTCTGCGATTGTCGCTTCATAAAAGCGACGTAAAGCGGATGTTACTACTACAAATGTTAGTTAACGCAAATAAAATTAAATTTAATTACAATGCAATGATATATATTTAGGACGTTTCCTCTCTACTTGTCTTTAACTATCGTATTTTGCATTTTGTTTCGCATTTTTTTAATCCAATAATCATTTATATGCCTACCGCCGTTCATCGCAAAAAAGTCCGTATGTTATCTGGTGGCACCGAGCCAGGTCACACTGCCGCCTGTTCCTCTTTTATGTTCTCTCTCTCTCTCTCTCTCTCTCTCTCTCTCTCTCTCTCTCTCTCATGAGTTAAAAAATTCCAGTTAATCGATAAAGAGAAATGGTGGCATTATTGTTGCGAGAATTTGTGGTCAAATAATATACTTATCGGTTCATTCGAATGAATCCAGACGAGTGACTTTTTCTCTTCTCGCTCTCTATCGTTTCCGGTCCATCGACTTGTCTTTCACAAGGAAAAGCACTGATGAAATCAGTTTGGAGGGGATTAAGCGAAGCTAGACCACGTGACGTTTTACGCTCCAAGAGCTATGCGAATTTCGAGGGCTGCTCTTGTGCTCTGCTTTCATCGCCGTGCAAGCCGTCCCGCACTCTTCTTCTCTGTTGCTCTTCGTCCTTTCTGTGACCCTGTTTTGCGAACACTCTCGGATTGACGAGCGTAACGATGCGGTCGATGCATGACAAAAGGATGGATTGCACAATCCCCTATGTCACGCCGACACGCCAAACGCTTTTCCTCTATCCACCGCCACACACTGCGTCATGATGCTGCGTTTCCGCACATTAGCCTACTGATTAAACATCGCGTACAACACGCGACCAACTATTTTCCTTCCACAGAGAGGTACTGGTCGCTGGACCAACGGTGGAGATGTGCTCGAGTTTAATCGCGAAATAAGATCGTCCGCAGCAGCAACTTTCTAACGAGGACGACCTGAGTGCTCTAAGCGTAATACGTATGGTGACATCGGTTTAAA